ACCGCTCTTGTACATGGTGGGGGGGGGGGGGGGGCAGTAAAAGGGGGAGGGCAGTTCCCCGAAAAAAGAGACCAAACCATTCCCCTCGGGGCTGTGCTGCAGTTCCCTGGACATTGCTGCACAATGGAGCGTTGGCGCTGGGGGTGAGAGGCAGACACGGGCAGGAGGCCATGGGGTGGGGAGAGAGATGGAGACACGGACTGAGAGAGAGAGAGAGAAAAAAGTGATGGAGAGCTGTAGGCAGGCGGGACACAAGGGCTGCCTCGCTGCATGGCCTCTGGTGCTTAGCCGGAGGCGTTGATGTAGAGTTGGCTCTTGAGGATGTAGTCAATGACGGGCTGGCAGAGGTAATCCACGACGTGTCCATCCCCGTGCTGCAGGGCCAGTCTGGTGGTGTGGGGGGAGAGAAAGGGGTCAGAGCCCACTTGGGTGGGTCAGGTGGCACCTTGGTGTCCCCAGAAATGGAGGGGTTGGCTGGAGGCACCCCTCTCCCTGCACTGTAGCAGGAGTCCCCCTTCATCACCCACCTGCTTTTGGTGGAGCTGACAACCGACATGGGGTGGTTTGAATCGTCCTTCACCACCAGGATGTTGTTCTGCAGGGGAAGGAGGAAGAGAGGAGCGAAGGGATGGCCTGAAAGTGAGCATCTGCCCTGCCAGCCCCCCTGCCCCGCTGGCCTTTGGGGGCTGCTGTGTGGCAGCCCCATTGCTCATCCCACCCAGCAGCTGAGAGCATCTAGCTTCAAAACATTTTTGTGCCCTGTGGCTGAAGTGCTCCCCTGGGTAGAGAGGCTGTGGGTCCTCTCACAACCTTCCCCAGCCATGTGTGCATCCACTTACTTTGTATTTGCGGAGTATGGAGGAATGGTTCATAATCCGGTCGGGGTCTGCTCCATCCCGGGGCACCACCACAATCCCAAACTCCCCAACAATCACCTCCATCTAGGAGCAACCCAAAACAGAGAGAGCTTTCATAACCATCCTGTGTAAAACCTGCTGCTGTCTGCCAACCCCCCTGACCCACAAAAGCTGGGCCATGGTCTGGATGCAGAAAGGAAGTGAATTTGAGGCTATCTGTGGACAGTCTTTGGCAGAAACTTGGATTTATCAAGGTGTGGTGAGTGGTCTGTGGTGGATGAAATAAAAAGGCACATGGTTAAATCCTATTAATAGATGTTGAGGTTAGGCTTTAGAGAGGGCTTGTCATAGTAGAAAGAGGGTGGCAGCAGAAGAGATTTCCTGAGGAGGACATGACCTCTGCCTCGCTGGAAGGCTTTAAGAGCAGGATGGGTGTGTTGGTCCTGACAGAGGTCTTGTAGGGTTGTTCTGCCCTGGGCAGAGAAAACCTGAGTTTGCACCAAGGCTGGTGGCCAAGTTTGCCACTGCAGGGGGATGGCTCCCACTGCCTCGGCTACCTCAGGACAAACCAGGCTCATCTGAAAGAGTTCTGGGTCAGCAGATTTTATTAAGTGAAAGCTGTTGATTTGGCTGTAAATGTGTTTAATTTCTAATGTCAGGCCAACTTTTGTAAACCTCTTGCTTCCCACCTCCATGCCTCATTCTGCTGGGAATTGCATCTACTTGATGCCAGCTCTGTCCAAGGGAGGAGGAGTGGGAGCATAGCCTTTGGAAATCCTTTGGGACCAGCTTACCTGCACCCAGGTGATGTCCTCTGCATGAGTGGGAGCAGGGCTTGCTCTGTGGAAGGGGAGGCCTGGCAGGGCTGGTGACTCCGGAGCAGAAGACCCTGTCCCTCAGGCTGCCCATGTGTAGGGGGAGGTGAAGGTGAGGGCTGGGGTGGAGGAGGAGGTGGGGATGGTGGGCATGACTCCTGCCGTCCTGAGAGACCCAGGTGGCTTCCAGGAGTGCTGGGTATTGGAAGCAGAGGAGGAGGAGGAGGAGGAAAGAAGCCAGGGGAAGAGGAGCACAGAGGGGCACCCGGCGGTGGTGACTCACGTCTGCCTCGTTCCAGAGACCGGGGATGCAGAAGGACTCCAGCAGGTCACTGCCACAGAGCAGTAAGATGCGAAGCTCTGAAGAAAAGAAGCAGAGAAGCTCAGAGGTGGGAGCAAACGGGGCTGAGCAGGCACCCTCTATTGCCACCCCACTGCACTGCTCAGGGGGAATCCTCTTTCACACAGACCTCCCCTGCCAAAACAAGTCCAGCTAAAGATCCTGTGGTCCATCTCACATCCCTACCAGTACCAAACATGAAATATTCTTCCCCACTCTACTTTATTTCAGCTCCTCTCCCGTGCTGCTGGGTTGTTGTCATCATTGCTATGTGCTGTTAAACTGTGGCTGTGCTGCAGCCCTGGAGGTGGGATATCCCCAGGTATGCAAGTCATTTTGCCATGCTATGGGCACCTACAGTCGCTTTGTGACCTGCTGCAGGGGCTTCCAGCCATGGGATAACGGGGAGAACCCAGGGGACTGCTCAAAGCCCTGGACATGGCTGTGTTTGCTTTAGCAAAGCTGATCGTGAAGCACCAGAGGTTTTCCTTGCACACCTTGGATGACTTCTGTGTCCTCCCTTTCTCTCCCTGGGGCTGGGACTGGTGCTTGCTGACAGCTTGCTTTGAGGCTTGGCTTTGCTGCTCAGTAAGCACAGCAAGAACATTGCGCTGCAGGAAGGAGCTTTCCGCTCTGACGGGCCCATAAGGATGAATTTATTTGCACAGATACCAAAGGAGAGCCATAAACCTGCCCGGAGGAGTGGGAAGGGGTGGCTGCATTGGAAGGTGCCTCCCTGGTTGTCATTTCCAGATGGCCAAAGCCTTTGGGTTCTGCATGGTGCTGGTGTTAGGATGGCTGTTGTGCCAGGCTGTGTGTGAACTAGCCCATGAAACGGGTCTCAGAAACACCAGCAAGCTGCTGGTGGTCCATGCTCCCCATGCAGAGCCCTGGGTGATGTATGGTGGTGCCAAGAGCGTGGTAGCCTGGTGGGTCTAAAACCCCTAAAGGACTTTAGGTAAAGGAGCACCATGGCTGCTCGGGTGGCTGAAATCCCTCCTGCTACTGAGCACAAAGCTTGTCAGGGCCACGGGCAATGTGAGGATGTGGGTGACAGCACTGCTGGAGGGCAGGTTTCATGGCACATGGGGTGAATTTCAAGGCACAATGCCACAGTGGATCCATGCCAGTGCTGGGAGCCAGGTGTCCGTGGTTTGCTCCCTTATTTTAGGCTGCTTGTCTGCCAACAGGAGTGTGCACAGGCCAGTTTAGCGCTGCTCCTGTTTCACCCGAGCCCCAATAGATGGCACTGGGACAGGATGACGGTCTGGCAGCCTTTGCTCACCACCAGATCTGTCATGCAGGCCCTCCTGCGGCGCAGAGTGCCGGCACGGAGGGGACAGAGCAATGCATACTCACCGATCTCCTCGTATCTCATCACCGTCCCCAAGTTGGCGTTCTCATCTGGGGAAGGGAAGCAAAAGAGAGCTGCTCATGCCCAGCCTGGGAGAGGGGGCCAGGAGGAAGGCTGGGGGCTAGCACCGAAGCCAAGGTGATGCTGGGACTTTCCTATACCTACCCACAAAGGTGAAGCGCTCCATGGGTGGGCGAACACAGCAAATTCGGCTCAGGCTTTCTCCCACCTTCCCCAGGATCTTTGCTAAAGATGAAGGGGAAAAATTAACCAGTGAGACAATGATGCCCTGGTAGACTGACCCGCACGAATGCATCAGCCACCCTGACCTTGCGAGATACTCCTGTGCCCAGGTCGGGGAACTGCTCTCAGCATCTCCCCACCCCTGCCTCTTGTGGTCTTAACTCCCAAGAGCACTATGTTTTGCCTTGACGAGACCAGCTGGACAGCTAAAATCACTAAAAAAAATCACAAGGCATTTGTTTTTATGGGATTTAAGTAATTGCCCCCTCTTCTCCCCAGCTAATACCTCCATGTCCCACATCCTGCCGGCTCGTGGGAGATCCAGCCACATCCCCTCTCCTGCCAGTTTGTCCCTTGCACGCACGCCACAGGTACCAGGTAGCCTTTCTCTTAGGTTCTCTCACTGCCTGAACGCCATCCAGTTAAAGACCAGTGAGAGTTCACAGCCATTTTGGCCGTTCTTGGCTCCCCTTGCTGTGCTGGATGCTAACCAACCCCTCCATCACATCCCCACCTGAACCTGCACTGGGGGCATGGAGCCTGATGAGCGACCTGACCCAAAAATAAGCTGATCGAGTGCTGTTCCTAGCATTCAGCAGCCCTGGCTGGGAGGTGAGGGGTGGGTGGTAATGCCCCGCTTCCCTACCCTGCTGCCACCTACCTGCGGTGGGCTTGTTGGAGACGTTGTTGTTGTTCTGGTAGATGGTCTGCGAGGACTCGTTCTGCGGCTGTCCGATCACGGGGGTGATGGAGGGGGTGTTGACGTTAGAGAGGATGCAGCCAGTCACTCTCTGTGAGGGAGAGATGTAGCTGGAACAGCGCCTTCACTCCAGCTACCTCCCAAAACCTTTATGACCCCTGTATCGAGACTCTGCACCCCAAGCTGAAGGTGACAGGTGTCCAAGCTTATTTTAGGATCCCCAGTCCCATCTGACCTCACTGGATGGGTCTGGGGGTGGCAGGACCCTGTGGGTAATGACTCACGATTAAGGACGGGGACGGTGGGATTAACTTTTTGTGTGATCCATGAGGCCAGCAAGGCTGCAGCCGTGCTGCCTGCAGGCAGGCATTGCCCCTATCGCCTGGAGGTGCTCATAAATTCTGATGAATAAATAAAAATACAGCATCTGGTGAATCAGTGGTGCAAAGCCAGTGGTTTACACATTACCCTGGGAGCAAACACGGCCTCTTCTCCTCCACCGGTCCCTGCAGGAGAAGGAAGGCATCTCCAGGGGCTCTCCCTGGCCTTGACACCATGGTCCCTGGATGCACGGGACATCCCACCAGGCTGGTTAATACTACTTCTGTGCCTCCTGTCTGGGCTGCCCGTGAGATTGTATGATGCTGTTTTATCCATTTCCCATCCTTGATTTGCTCGCTATATCCAAGTGTTGGCAGTAGCCCTGCGGTCACCCGAGAGCAGTTGTCTTTCTCCTCGGCTCTCAGGCCTGCCTGGGCTTCGGAGGGACTTTTCCTCCTGGGTTTTGTGCTCCCTGGGGACTTCCTAGATGCTGAATTTTCCCTCCGCAGGTTCATGCAGCAGTTTCAGCTCAGCTGGTGAGTGGGGATGTCTGTCCACCTCTCCTTCCCCTCAGGGTGGAGCAAATGGTCGGCATTAATGATTTGGCTTATGCCCACCCCTGCCTTCACTCTGCCTTCACCCCTCCTGCCCTCCTGGTGTTTGTGGGACTCGGATGGCTGCTGGCTCGGCTGGAGGGCACCATTTGCTTTCACTATCAGGGCAAGGAGCTCAAAGCAGCTGTGACAAGGTATCTTGTGACTGTTCCAGGTCAGGATTTCAGGCACATTCCTGTAAGTCTTCTCTCTGTCTGTCCCAGCCATGTTTTGGTTGTTGATATCCACATACTGGTGCAAGAGTAACCCCACTCCTGCTCACTCCCCACACCCTCATCCCAGCTGCACCCAAGGCATGGCGGCTGCCTCACCTTCATCAGGTCACGGTGGTGCTCCAGCACGCTGCAGGTGGTCTGCCAGGTGTCCTGGTAGCACTCCCAGGGGTCCACCCTGTGGGGAGCACAGGAAGGCAACAGTGTTGGGCAATGGCCACTGCCTGGACCTCCTGGCCATGCTGCCTCCTCCTCACCGGGCTGGTCAGCAGTGCTATGAGCAGCCACTCTCACTCCCCCAGCTCTGCCATGGACCATGCCCTTCCTCCAGCCCTTCCTTCCAGCTCTCCCTAATAACTTTGGGGACCTCAACATATGTCCGGACACCTTTCCACTCTTGGTACCCAAGTAACCAGCTTTCATCTGGTTTGGATGTAACTACACGTGTTACAACCCTGTTTCCTGAGGGCAGCCTGGAGATGTCTCTGGTCCCACCTCAGCTGCCAGATGTTACATGGCAATGTTGGGAAGGGGAGAGTCCGTGGGCTGGTGCTGCACGTGTGGAAAGGAAAGGTGCCACAGCACAAGGCTGGGCTGGGCTGGGCGAGTTTAGGGCTCACACTGACACCACAGACTCAAGCAGGGGGCTTGCAAGACCCCCCTGAAGCCAAAGGGCCCCCTTGAAGGATGGTGTAACACTTCTCATCAGTTCTCTGCTGGACTAGGAGAGGAAGGCCTCCAATTTTTAATTAAGCTTTGGCTGGGAGAGGAGAAAGATCATCCTGGAGCTCTAGAAGCTGGTGGCATCTCCACTTTGCATGCAGGACTTTGCCACCACAGTGCCCGGGAAGGGGCAGGGGCTGCTGGTGCCATGGTGGGTGCAGGCCCTGCCACTCACCTGATCCAGTCGGAGGACTGGACGGCCAGCTGGCACATGGTCAGGCGGTGCCGGCTTGAGACCAGACCCTGCAAGAGAGCGTGATGGAGGAATGGTTATGGGAAGCAAGCATTGTGCCCTGGCCAGCCTCGGCTTGCAAACCTTCCCGGGGCAGAGCATCAGGCTCACTCAGATGAGACAGGCCAGAAGGATTTGCTCCTGCCCACAGAAATTTATTTAAGCTCCTATTTGCTGGAGGGGAGAAGTCCCTGCCTTGCTTCAGCCCCGGTTATGCACCAGTTGGTGAGATTTGCTCAGCACCACCACTCTCAGCCCTGTGCTGCAGTGGGGCCAGACCTGGGGATGGTGGTTTCTTGATGAAATTTCTACAGCTTTCAGGAGAGGAGGAAACTCTCTCCTCTCCTAGTCTGGGTTTCCCCCTGCCCCAGAACATGCTTTTAAAGGTCCCTGTTTGCAATGTCACCATCCCCACAATAAAATTGGCTTTCAAATTATTCAAACAAATGAACAAAAGAACCCCAGCCCAACAAGATGACCACCACCGTTTTGGGTGAAAATGTTTCTGTTTGCTGTCTAGTACATCGACTGGTTGTAGGGTCTTGCTGCAGTTTTTATCTAAAGAGTGAGTGGTTTCATCCTCTCCCTCCTCTCAGAGACTTTCCCATGGTCAGGAGCTGCCCCGTGCAGAGGACGTCCATGAAAGGACCACGGGTGCAGGCCCAGTGCTCACCCCTAGCTTCAGAGATACCATTGCATGTAGGAGGCAGAAAGGGAAAATGGGGACAACCCACCGTCTTCCCGTAGGAGTCGTGCACAGGTGAGACAATGCCACCGATAACAATGAAGCGTCCGGTCTTGTGCAGATAATCCCGGGCTCGCTCTGAAGGAGGACAAAGAAAAGGGTGCAGGAGGAGTCAGCTGGACCCACTGAGCCCCACAACGCCCCACTGCTGCCCGCTGGCTTTGCCCAGTGCCTGTGGAGCAGCTCATCCTGGCTTGGGCAGTGCTGGGAGGGGAAGGTGACCAAGGGAAGGGGTGGCTTCATCTTTACTGCCCGTCTCATTCAGTGCTATCCTTGGTGATGCTGAGCATGGACCTTCCCGGGGACCACCAAACCTTGCAGGAAGGAGGATTTGGTGGAAGAAAGCAGGTCTTTAGCAAAAGCTAAATAACATTCAGACCCCAAATCACCTTCCACCACCTCACCAGAGGGGCAGCTGAGAGCCTGCACCACCCATGTGAGCTGCTCAGCAGAGATGGGCTCTTTCGGTAGCCCTGGAGGATCCAGACCAAGCTCACGAGGTGATGCATTGAAGCTGGTTCATTCACTGCCTGCAGACAAATCCTTTCCTTTCTGTTTTTCTCTGCCCATAAACTACATCTATCCTTTCTCTCCCTGTGATTTCTCCCTTCCTTGCCTGCTATGGTTTGCTGCTGACTACCAGCCGAAAGCTTTCTTAGCAGCTGGAAGGTGACCGACGGATCTCCTGACCTCAAATATCACTTCTGACAAGGACCCCTTAGATGTGGGCAAGATTAAAAAAAACCAAGGTAATAACAAAGCTCACTGCCTGTGGCTCCACTGAACTGGGGGGACAACCCTGTGGTTTATGAGCAGAAAACTTTTTGCTGGTTCATGCATCAGCAGCTGGCCGTAACTCCCTGCAGGAGGATATAAATACAGGCTGGGTGATGGATGGATTGAGAGAAGCCCTGCCAAGAAGGGGATACTGGTGGGTGACAAACTGGTCATGAGCCAGCAAGGTGTGCTTGCAGCCCAGAAAGGCAATTGCATCCTGGGTGCATCACTAGCAGTATGGCCAGCAAGTCCAGGGGGGTGATGCTCCCCCTCTACTCCGCTCTTGTGAGACCCTGCCTGGAGCACTGCATCCAGCTCTGGGGTCCCCAGCACAAGACAGACATGGACCTGTTAGAGCAGATCCGGAGGAGTCCATGAAAATGATCTGAGGGCTGGAACACCTATGCTATGGGGAAAAGCTGAGAGAGTTGGGGCTGTTCAGCCTGGAGAAAAGAAAGCTCCAGGGAGACCTCATTGTGGCCTTTCAGTATATAAAGGGGGCTTAAAAGAAAATGGAGACTTTTTACCAGGGGCTGTAGTGACAGGATAAGGGGCTACCCTAAAAAAGGGTAGATCTAGGGTAAATATAAGGAAGACATTTTTTTACAATGAGAGTGGTGGGACACTGGAACAGGTTGCCCAGAGAAGTTGTGGATGCCCCACCACTGCAAATGTAGAAGGTCAAGTTGGATGGAGCTTTGAGCAACCTGATGAAAGATGTCCCTGCCCATGGCAGGGGGGGTGAACTAAATGATCTCTGAAGGTCCCTCCCAACCCAAACCATTCTGTGAGTCTGTGATTCTAAGGTGTGCTTTTGGTTGACAGCCTAAACAAGAATTGCTCTTATGCATGGGGCTGCATGCATGGGTGTTTAGCTGCTAGAAGCTTCTCACAGAAGCTACCCCTGTAGCCTCTCCTCCCTGCTACCAAAACCTTGCCATGCAAACCCAATACATTCCACCCCTTGGCTCTGTGAATTGCATATTTAAGAATTATCATTAAAATCCACATTCATCACACAATCTTCACAATCTTCAAACTTCACTCTCATCATAAAAAAAGAATTTCCCACACCAAAATCAAAATAACATCATCACAACACCAGATGAAAGTGGACAGTTTATACCAAATCCACCCCTCATCCCTTCACCACAATTACAACAGAAATGCCCCACAGTCATTCCACTTTTCACTCTCTAGCTGTGGTGAATGATCTCTCCATGTCCTTAATTCGACCAACAAGCTTTTCGTTCTATTTTCTCTCCCCTGTCCAGTTGAGGAGTGGAGGTAATAGAGCGGCTTTGGTGGGCACCTGGTGTCCACCAGGGTTAACCCACCACAGCACAGATGGATCCCTACCACTCTACCACTCCCACTGCAAGACCCACACCTCACGTGCTGGTGTTTTGAAAATGCTGAAGGGTTCACCAGGGGGAGCACCAACAAAAAACCCCAACAAAAAATCACAAACCCCACAAACAAACAAACCTAATACATAAAATAAAATACATGAAAATAAAGTTACAGTAACATCATGTCTCCTAGAAGTCCCATCACACTGGGATGGAGACGCTTGTCCCCATCTGCTCCTGTCTGCTGGAAAGCTCTGGGATGCTGGAGATGGAAAGTCCCATCTTTTCACACCACAGCAGCGATACCTCCTGCCCCCCAAGTTTTGCAGCCATATCACCCACCCCTTTTACTCAAGTTCTCCCACTGGGTGCATTGCAACTGCCTTGTCCCCCAGGCACACCATGCCCATGTGTGAACCACGGCACTGCTATGGGGTTGCAGTCCTGCAGAAAGCGAGGAGGAAGAGGCTGGGAGGTGCAAGCATGGGGCACGGCAGTGGTGGTGGGGTGGCCATGGCCGGGCTGGCCCTGCCTCCTTTGCTGAGTGTGGGGAGGGTGGTTGGGGAGTGCACAGTGCAGCAGTGCCCACCCCAGCTATTGAGACAGTAGAAAGAAAAAAAAATATAGAAAAGGTAAGAGCAAAAAGGGACACAAGATTGATGAGTCATTAGAAAATGCTTTTTTTTTTTTTGCAAGTGGAGGATCTAGAAAATATTTTGCCTTTGCAAAGAAAACCAGCGTTCCTGAACTTAAGGTGATTTCGGGATCTGTCAGCCATCCCATGATATCACTGTGCATCATACCCTGCAGGCACCCTGCTCCAGCCACCAGCATTTCCCCAGGGAACAGGGAGCAGCTCTGCCTGAAGGGCTGGTGCCCTCACGTGCAGTGGCAGTGGGGAGACACTTGCAGAAGCCTTCCTCCCCACCATGACCTGCACCCAGCCCCAGCTGTTACCTACTATAGCTGGTGCAAAGCTCTTCATCCTGCATAGGATGGCTCCTGCTTCCCTCGGTGGTATAGCTGCATTATTCCTCGGAAAGAAGCAGCAAAGCTAGCTCCTGCTGTCTGAGGAGATGGTTCCCCATCCCAGCTGCTCAACGTGGCATCAGCTTTTGGGTCAGGGGACCCACCTAACAAACCCATCTTTGCCAAAGCATCCATGTTCCCGTTTCCCCTCCAAAATAAACTTTTGCAAAGAGAAACAGGAAAAAAGAGGGGAAGGAGGTCAGCGTTTGCCAGATGCAAGCACAGTCGTGATGGGTGCACAGAGGAATGCAAGCAGACCGGACATCCTGCTGCATCTTCTGCAGCTGCTGCACTGAACTGGGGCTCCTGGGCTTTTATAGAAACACCTCATTGTTCTGCTGCTGGTTGAAAATTAGCCATGGGCTCATTCATGCCTGCCAGCACCATGAGGGTAATTCCAGTTATGTTTGAGCATGTGGGAGCGGCGGCTGAGTCCTGGGCCACAGCTTGGCATGACGGGCAGGTGAGGGCACAGCTTGGCGGGTCCAGATGTGGAGAAAGGGGCTTTTCCATGGTGCATCGATGGGTACATTTTTCCTGCACATTTCCCGGTCAAATGATCCTCTCTGGGTGGTATGGATTGTGCTGTTTAGGAAAGGACTGTTCTCCCGGCAGTACACCTTTTCAGCTCCCATGCTCTAGCTCCTTCTTTGCTTCAGGGCAAAAATTCAGCTCTAAAATTATTTTAGAGCTCCCTTTCAATGGCTTGGGATGGATGACTCATATAAGAGAGGCAAGAGGGGCTGAGCAGGGCAGGGAGGTAGGGATGTTGCTGAAGAACCGCCTAGGTGAAATGATTTTTTTCCTCCAAATTTTGAAATTTCTACTAGGAAATACCATTCAGCTATTGGGTCAGTTAAAAGTCAATTAAGGAACTATAATTGCCATGGACTTTTTTCCTCCCCCAAGGGTGTTGAGCAGCCCCAGGCCCCCAAGACAGCCTGTGGGAGATTTGCCAGCCTCAGTAAAACCTCTTCCTCAGACTCATCCAAAATCCTTTCCCTGGCTTCCCTCCCAGCTCTTGTGCCCTGGGCATGCCAGGCCCCAGAGAGAGAAAAAGGGGCTTAAATCATTTGATCAGTGCAGGTACTAAAATTCAATTGCCTGGATTAGATGGACTGAAAGTTTCCCTCCCTGCCACCAAAATCCTGAGCTCGAAGGAGTTAACACTGGCAGTTTGGTTTGAACCATATTTTTTCTTCTCTGCTGGTTATTTATCCACTGGGAATGGTGTGGGAGCATCTTCATCCACCAGCAGGTTTCACCAGGGCAGCCAGGGGACCGAACCCAGCCCTGTACGTGATAATCTGTGTTCCAAGTGGTACCCACCCTATGAGGGAGCACACACAGAAAAATACAGTATTCTTGGGTTTTGGGTTTTTTTTTTTTCCATGGGCAAGGTGGTTTGAGGCTGAACCAGCACCATAAATTAAAGCACAAAACTCCATGGGTGCTGGGATCCCCTTTGCAGCCTTCCAAGTCAACCCTGTGTAACTACTTGCCCAGAAAGCCAAATAAGCAAAAAAATAATCTTTCTTCTTTTTTCTGTGTTTTAAAAAGAGGAATCAGGGGGTACCAGCAACAATTCTTCCTCTCCAATGCTCTGTGCTTGCCTTTATTGATGATATTGGCTTTCCCATTGGTGCCTTCAAGCTAATCAAGAGGCAGAAGAAAAAAAGGTAATTTTTACCCTAATTCTGCTCTTTCTGGCATCATTTACACAAACCATGTCCTGGGATCTCTTCTAGATTGAAAAGAAAAGGACTGCATAGGGTATAAGTTACAGAAAACAGCATCAACAGACTTTCATAGCAAAAAAAAATTAAAGAATTAGGCCATGATGTTGGAAGAGGAATTAAAAGGTGCAAAGAAATGCTTTTGGATGAACTTAGAAGCAGGGGAGGTTCACAGG